GCCATGGATAAACGAGACCATTTCACACAGTACAGCTGGACACTTAGATTGCAGAGCCAGCTCTCCAAATGCATCTTGCTTAGTAGAGAAGCTCTCATTTCCCAGACTCTCAAAAACAGAACATCACCAGGCCGACCAGCATTTACAGAACCACCTCTCTATCCTGTGAATGAGCAGCCACCCCTCCCTGCCATCCCCAAACGCCTGACAGCCGACACCCTGGGGCTCACCAGTGAGCAGCCGGGATTGCTTGCGTCTTGGGGAAGCTCTTGTCATTGTCTGCACGGATGCTTCCATGATCTCCGCTCGGGAGATCGCTCCGCTCGTGGGCTCAGGGAGTTTGGAAAGAGACAGAAGCTGTGATGGGGAAATTACTTCCCTTCGGTTGAGGAATCTGCAGCACAAAGAGGAGATCCAAGCTCAATTCTTTTCATGGTTGGTGTTTTCATCGTTAATTACTATAAATTAGGCAGACGTTTACTGAGTGCCTACCGGGTAGCAGGCACTGTGGGTGGTCAGGGATGGGGCTTCCACAGCCCTGTGGGTGGGGTGGCAGGCCTCAGCAAAGGGCCAGAATGCAAACACAGAGTGCCCATCAATGCGGATGACGGAGAGAATGGCCACTGTGGCCGCCACACGCCCTTTGTGCTTCCCTGTCTGAACTCCTACAGTTCTCCTAGCAACTGCGAAAGATAAACCTTGTCCCCCAGATTCAGTGAGGCTTCGTTTGGGTTCTGGCAGATTAGCCAAGGCCCTGAGAGCCTGCAGCCCTGCTGAGGTCCCAGAGCTGTGCATGACGTGCCGAGGCCAACCCGGCTGGAAACCTGCTCTTCCCACTCCAACCGGAGACTCCACTTCCCGCACAGTAGAACATGGCAGCAGAACTGTTTGAGGGGAGACCCGAAGCCACAGGTAGAGAGTGCACCTGGGAAGTCTGACACGCAGGCCTCCTCCTGGGCTGGTGGCCTTATGGTCCCCACCACTGGCAATGCAGGGCCCAGGGAGGGACAGGACACAGGTGGCCGTGGCAGCCAGACCACCATCCCCTGGGCGCATCACTGAGGCACCAGAACCCAGCCTGGGACCCAACTCGAATACTAAGCTTGGAACCGTCAGGGTCCAGGTAGAACTGGGAGCCAGCACGGATGCCCCCAGCCCACCCCAGTGCTCAGATCTGTGGTCCACACCGGTGCCCTGGGGAAAACGATCTGACTGCACTTTTGGTGGCTCTGCTGGCTGTGACCAAGGGACCATTTGTACTTTGTTAACAACCATAAATCTAAGTGCTCACTGGGTGGAGCAGTGCGGCAGGTGCGCTCACACACATTCCTGCCACCTCCCTTTCCTCCCCAGGGCCTCAGGAGGTGTGCAGCATGAGCATGTGCGTTTCAGGTGGGAGTCGAGTCACTGAAAGCTACATAGCACCAGGGTGATGGCTAGCGAGTGACGGAGGCAACACTGAGGTGTGAAGGCCATGCACGCAACATGCACATAGGCAATAAGCTGATGTGCATACATACAAATGTGCTCTGTGCATGTCTGCATGTGGTTGCAGGGCTTCCCACACCCACTTCAGTCAGAGCTCTTCCATGTTCATGCACTGTTTCCAAGTTGCATTTTGATTGATGAAACGGAGGCTGAAGTGGGTGTGTGCATGTGCATGCATGCGGGCACACACACACGTTATGTTTGTGGGTGTCAGGGGTCAGGCTGGCAGTGGCTGGCAGTGGGCCTGGAATCTGATAGGTAAGGTCTCACCATCACCCCATCTATCTATTAAATGGGGATTGATTGTCCTGGATCACAAGTTTGAGAGATGGAGTGAACTGACACAAGTTAAGTGCCCTTAGACAGACACACACTGAGCAGGAAATGAGTCACATTCAGTGCGGTGCTGTTTACAATATTTCCATAGGATCCATAGATTCTGTCAGGTATTGTGTGTATCTGAAACAACTTCATACATCTGTCAATGTGGTGAATGCCATTTTTCCCTCAGGGATGCAGAGTCCTAAACCCTGACCCAATCAGAGTTATTGTTTACATTCCGATGAGGAAGCTCAGACTCCTGGGTGAGGGAGTGGTGGGTTCTGGATCTGCCCTCACTCAGTTCTTTTGGTCATAAATTCAGTTTCTAACCACCATGCCGCTCCTAAATTAGCTAATAACACGAGATTCTCAAAGGTCACTCAAGAACGAAAAAGCACGTACCCCACACACGCAGGCTGTGTTCTGGTCCCACAACAGGCTGATGACGACTGAGGGTCTCGCTGCGGGGTGTGTATCCTGTGCAGCCTGAGCAGCCCTACAGGGACACCTTTGCTGCTGGCCACCCACCCTCCTCAGCCACCTAACAGAGGCCAGCTCGCCCAGGTCATGGCACAGGTTTGTGGCAGGTGTAAGCTGGGCTGCACGGTTCCTGCCAGCCGGTTCCCGAGTGGTTTAGCCATGGGTCAGCTACCCACCTTGGTGCCCACGCCAGGCAGGGGCAGCCACGTGACCCAACTTCCAAATGTGAGTGCCATGCTAAAGAGTGACAGGTGGGTGCTCACACAGGGGCCCAGGGGGCTCAGGTCCTGGGTCTTGGGCTCCAGTCCTCATGGCCCGTCTGCACCCCAACAGCTGCCCTGTTCCTACTGCTTCCCAGAGGCGGTGCCACCATCACTGAGGGGCAAAGACTTAGTTTAGCCACAGCACTGACCTTGGACATTGTTATTTAGGAAAGTCTTTTCTTTTTCAGCTATAAAACAACTACATTTGTTGTGAGGTTAAAAATACTTCATTATTAAAATTTTTACTCAAAGCTGGTTCTTTATTAGCTACTCAGTGGTGATATTTTTTGATGACCTGTAGCGTTCCCATCCCCAAATTAAGTGCCCTGTTCCTGTACCTGTCTCTGCAGAGGGAATGTGAACTTCCAGTCAGGCGGGGACACTTTCAACTCCTCTCGTGTCCCCAGCATCTAGCACACAGCTTTGTATGGCAGGAAATGGTATTTCCTACATAAATAAATAGTTTAAGCAGGCACAAGGCATTATTTAAGAGTTACCAAAAACAAATCTTTCCGATGTAGTGAGCCCCATGGACGTGGCCCCCATAGCTGCCTTCGGGATGCCAGTGCTGATTCCCAAGGGGCCCTGCAACCTGCAGGACCCATTGGGAGGGTGGCGGCGGGCACCCGTGCAGTGCGCCCAGTCCCAGTTCTCTGCAGATAACCGAGTACTGCCCCAGGCATGCCAAACAAGCACGCCCTCGCCAAATACTGTTTTCTTTCTCCCATTGGTCAGGTTTTCAGAAAATAAGTACAAATTAATTTACAGCCCACGTGGGCAGTAGGGGGTTCTTCTGGCTGGAATCGTAGAAACGTGGACTGTGGCGACAGCCTCGCCATGTTTTGTGCCTGGAGAACTTGTATTCGTGAACTTCCAAAAAATTAAGCTTGCAAGGCCCAAACCTGCTGTTTGTTTCGTTTGTTAACCCCCATGAGGCCATGATGCCCTAAATACTTATGTTGGTTACATATTTAAAATTAAGCTGTTTCCTAATTATTACAGAATGGTGGCAGACTGACCCCCGCGCCGCCAGCCCCGGGGATGGGCAGCCGCGTGTCGAGGCCGCACCCGGTGCCCATGTCCCACCCGCCCCGGGCCTCCGAGCTGCGCCGCTGTGCTCGGCTCCGTGTTCTGGGGGAGGATCCGAGGCTCAGCACTGGCCCTTTCAGTTCCCTGCACGTGGTCCTGGAAAGTGGCTCACGTGAGTTCCCCTGACGTGTATGGTGGAGTCACGGGGCCAATTTTGGAGGTAACCTTGGAAATTAAAATAGGCGAGTAGGCAGAGACCCCCAAGGACGCAGCTGGTGCTGGGGGCAGGCGGTCTGTCCCCCCGCGCCCTCCCCGGGCCGTACCTTCTCCCCGCGCCGTGGGGGCCGTTGTCCATCAGGAGCCGGCCCTGCTCCGGGGCGCTGGCCGCGCGCAGCTCCTCCGTCTGTCCTGCGGGGCGAGACACCACAGCCGATCACCGCTGGCCCTGGGCCTGTCGCCCTGACCTCCCCACCGAGCGCGGCTGGGTGCACGGTGACTGCGGCCGGGGGCGCTTAGACGGCCGAGCTGGGCGTCCGTGCGGCCTGTTTCTGCGCGTCAAGGTGGGTGTCAGCGGCTCCTGGCAGACCTGCCGCGGGCAAGAGGAGGCAGGGGGCCCAGTGCCGCCCTCACCTCGTGCAAGGTCAGCTCGGCCGCGCACCTCTCACCGGCCCAAACCACCTCACGATTCTGGGTACTTCAGTCACATGAACCAATGCCTCTCACCTGTGTGCCCATCTCCTCTACTGCCTGTGAAGTCGTGCATTTAACAAAAGGGGAAACTCACACATCAGCAGTTTCCAGCGGCAGGACTCCTGTTTTATTTACTTCATGCTTGAAATGTTTAAGAAATCCCATGTGCTGAGCGCCTGTGCCCTCTCACAGTGGTGCAGCGTCAGCGGGCAGGGGCTGTGGGAGGCGGTCGAGTGGCAAGGTGGAGCCCCAAGGTGGTATCCGTGCCCCGATCAGAGGGATCCCACAGCCCCCTCCAGGTGAGGACACGCGGGAAGACGCCTTCTGTGAGGGGGGAAGCGGTCCCAGCAGAGGCCGGGTGGGCCGGGCATCGCCCCGCAGAGGGGGACAGGCCGCGGCCTCCAGTGCCCACCACGTCCAGGCGCACAGCCAGCCCTCCAGGCTGTTTTGCCAGTGCCTGCCCGGTGGCCTGACCCCCGACACGCCCATGCCTTACAGCAAAGTCACGGAAAGCCCCGTGGATGGTCCTGGGACCCGCGGAGAGGGTGGGCCTCCCTCCACTGGAGCTGCGCCTCTGCAGGGGCCCTGAACGAGGGCCAGCTCTATGTCACATGCTGGGGCACAGGAGCGCCGCCAGGACCCGGAACCCCAGGGAGCTCTGAGCAGGGCACCCGTGTGACCCTCACGTGATGACCCATCATGCTCACCCCGCAGCTGCCTCCCAGTTCAGCCCCCAGTTCCACATCTGAAGTCAGCCAGCTGCCCCCACTTGACCCTGGAGCCGCAGCGGGCGTCCTAGGCGTGTGTGGCCAGCGGTGGTGGCAGGGGCTCTATGGGGCGACCCCGCCTTTGGCACCCTGACACCTGACGGCTGTGGGACTGGGAAATCGCCCAGCCTGGCCCCTCCTCCCACCTGTGGTCGTGGTTGCCTGAGGCTTGTTCTGGGATGGAAGAGGCTGTGGGTGACATGTGGGGCAGGGGCCTGACATCGAGGTCCTGCAAGTCAGAGCTGTGCGCTGTCCAGAAGCTCTGTGTCTCCCCCTTCTGGCACCATGGTCCCCATCCCCCTGCTCTTCACTTTCTGCCACCCCCTTCACCCACCCTCCTGTGGGGAACCCCACACTGCCCACTTGGGCGCATTCTTTCCTTGCAAATATCTATCCTCACCTTGGACCCACTCCTGAAGTTCACAATGGCTGGCTCTCCTGTCCCCATAAAAGTCGGTGGCCCAAGAATTCATCTGGCCAAGACCCCAGAAGAAGCTGTGGGGTTTCCTTTCCTGCCTCTCACCTGTGTACCCATCTCCTCTACTGCCTGTGAAAATCACCTGTCCTGGCCCTCACCACCATGAAGCCTGCCTGCCGTCCCCAGCCACCTTCCCCCCTGGCCTCAGTGTGCTGCCTGCAGTGACCTGTTGCTAAGACAGACTGCTCAGGCTTGGGCCTTTCCTACAGCACCTGGCAGACCCCTGCCGTGGACATGGCGCCCCCCACAGTCTGGCCATGAGCCCCCTGGGTACCCAGCACCCTGTGCCCCACACCTGGGCACCCCCACTCCTGCTCTGCGAGGTCCTGATGCCCCGGCTCTTCACCTGCCAGGGAGTGTCTCACTCCTTTATCAGCATCAAGGAGTGTCAGATGGCTGTGCGCTTCTCTAGGGCCAGAGGACGCTCCACTGCTTCGGTCTCCCGAGATGCCGGGATCGGTGACGGTTCCTCCAGGTGCGGAGCAATACTTTAAAAACGAAGAGAGCCTAAGGAAGAGTCTCACCCACCACGCTCTCCTTGCCATCAGCATATCTTACCATTGATTGATACTAGTGTCTTGTAATTTAAGCGTAATTGATCACTTGGCTTATTTTCCAGTCTCTTATTATGAACTATTTTATTGAATTTTTAAAGTTAGTGTCACAGCCTTGCAGATTATTTTTTTCTTCAAGTTTTATATACAAAATAGATTTTTGTGTTGAAAAGTCCACCCCGTATAGTTCTCGTGTGTGGCAGCCTCAGAGCTCTGCCAGGGCTGGGCAGAGGCAGCTGCTGCTTTCTTCCTTGTGCACGAGCACGAGGCTGGCCCTCCCCGTGGCCCGCCCATCTTCTCTCTCCTGAGGTCCTTCTGCTGCGGCCTGAGCCTGCCTGGGACGGGGGCGTCCAAGCAGCGGCCAGTTGCACCGTCACAGCTGCAGGGATGCTGAGCCCAGCCCAGCCTCTCCTCTGCAGATCTGAGCCCCGGGTCTAGAGATGGATGTGTCCTCCTGCAGATGTGGCTCCTGCTCCCAAAGGGGTGCCTCCAAAAGGTCCCCCCAGGCATGCACACGTCACGTGCAAGCCAGGTGGGAGCCGTTATGCAGAAAACGCTGCATTTCAGAAAGAAGGAAGTCACCTATTTCCAAAGAGCGTTTACTTGTAAACCAGGACACGGAGCTCTTCCTCCTCAGGAACCTCCGTACACCAGCTCCTGAGGAGTTTGGCCCCGGACTGACTCCGAGGGCCTGGCTTTGCTCAGAGCTCCGTTCAGTGTGCTGAAGCCCAGTGAACTGGATCAAAGTTTGCCGACACCCCGTCTTACATGAATCCCCCCGAGGCTGGCTTCCCGACCTCCCAGGCTGCGGGCGCCGTCTCTGCCTCTGCTCTTTGCGCCCTAGCCCTTGAATGGCAGCGACAGGTAGAAACATTTGCCATGAAGACAATCGGACACAAATCTCGACTGTGCAGACACTGAAGTGCATCCCATCCTTGTGGTGACTAGTATACTTGGTTTCCATGAGGAACAAGTCAGGGTGTTAGAGAAGGTCCTTACCTCATTTTTCTCTTAGACCCACAATGGTCATGCATGTATTTTTTAGCAAAAATTAAATCTTTTTCACTGTCATTTTTATTACAGAATTTTCAGGTTCCCGAGGAAGCTGGATCCCTGTTGGGATCCTGCCCTCGAGTGTTCACTGGGCTGGAAGCTCTCCCGTGCTGCCCAGGACACCATGTGCCAGGCCTTGCGTACGACACTTGAACATTCCTGTGAGTCGTTCCAGCCGTGAAAGCTGCCATGCGTGTCCAGGGCTGGGGGATGGTCCTGAGTGGTCGTCAGCCACACTCCGATGTGAGAGTCTGTGGCCTCTGGGACCAAGATCACACTTACAGCCTGGCTGAGGCCTCGGGGCCTCTGCTTCCTGAGCTGGACATGGGGCAGGCGCCCTGGGGTGAGTGGCCCCACCGTGGGGCTGAGGAGTACGGCTTGCAGGCGCCACTTGTGCCCGGCCTGGCCCGGGGGCTCTGGACAGTGAGGGAGCACCCCAGTCTGTGAGTGACCAGAGCCACGCCGCACATTGAGTGGGGCCGACTTCACTTTGGCTGTGGTGGAATGTGTCTGATAAAAATGTGCTTCCAGGTAAGTGTACCAGGGAGTGACTATTTTGTTTCAAAGCTCCTGTTGGCTTATTGTCACCTGGAATAACTAAGGAATGTAAAGCTGAAACGGCGTGAGATGTATAGTATTTTCCAAATATGTAATTTATAAGGCAAGTAAGAAGCCAGCTCCACAATATTCTAATCAGAAATAAAACAGCCTCCCAAGAGCATTTTTATCAGACGCTGTGTCATGCATGATTCTACCTTTACTGAAAGTTTAAGCAAAAACAAAAAAATCGAACCTCTCTGTGACGGGAGACAATCAAACATCGCTCTGGCAAAGCTGCAGGTGCCACATTTCCTGCTGTTTTTTTAAAAACACATGATTTCTAAAGGTTAAAGATAATTTTACATTCTGTTGGATTTCTGTCATAACCCCTACGTGACTTCTGTTGTTACCATGGCTTTATAGCACAAGGGCCTCAATAAATATGACATAAACGGGCAGATCCATGCACCAGCATTGCTGAACACCTATCACGTGCCAAGTGCCAGGATGACTGATGTCCCGTGTGGGGAGATGGAACCACTCTTTCTTGTCCTTTAAAATGTGAATCTGTGTTTATTCTTTCTGGTATTGCCCAAGCACACCACAGTCCATGCTCTAACCGGAATATCTCAAAAATAAAAACTGATAGATAATTTTCCAGTTTCCTCTATTGCACAGATGCTGAAAGGGAGGAAGCCCAGCCACAACACAGCTAGTAATGGCCGGGGACAGGTGCAGAGCCGCCCCGCTGACCTGAGAGCTGGCCTCCTGTGTCCTGGCAGCCTGACCTGGTGGCGGCTTTCCGGATCAGGGTCTGGGGAGGACTTTGGGGCAAACTTTAATATGGTCACAAAGACCCAGTAGTCAGTAAAATTGGAAGGCTTGGGGCTCCCAGCAGGGGCTGGTGGGCTGAGAGGACCCAGGCTGGCCAGTCCTGCAGGGTGATGACAGGCCGAATGGGAGAACAGGTCTAGTGAGGCTGTGTAGGCGGCCGCAGGTGGCTTGGAGGGGTGGGAGCCTGCTCGTGGGGTCTGCATGTTCCCAGGTGGCATTGAGTGTCCACGGACACCGTCCCACAATCTCCTCAGTGATTTGGGGGCTTTTCTTCAGCAAAAAAATGCAGAATTTGGTCTGTGATTATCCCAACCCCCACATCTGTGCAGCTTTCTTCACCAGATTCAGCATAGTAGGACCAAGTCCAGAATATACATCACAGAAGTTAGAAGCTACTTCATCAAAAGTGAATTTACAGCAAAGGAACAGGCGGCTCCTCCCAGAGAAACTTTTTCTCAAATATACAAGCAGGTAGAAAGGGAAATTTTCTATTATGTAATTATAGGAAAGTCAGTTCTTTTTCCAGAAAGAATTCTATTTTAAACCTTCTAAACTCAAGGTTTATTCTTTTCCTTGGGAAAGCATGAACACTGAAGGACTCTCAGGAGCCACCATGCACCTAACCTTATAAGGTGAAAGACCGAATTTCAGGTGTGACTTACCCCAAGGGAGATCTTTGCCTCTCGAGATGAAAGGGAAGAGCCCGCAGGTGCAGGCCGCCAGTAGCGCAATGCACAGGACAAGCTTCCTCATGCTGGAACCTGCCGGACACGCGCAGTCAGCAGGGCCTGCGTCCGGGCAGCTTGGTGAGGGTCTCCACCAGCTGACTCTTCGCTCACTAGCCTCTATGTCAGGGCCGATTCTCAGAAGCCATGAAGCCCTGGACGACTCTGAATTGGCCCCAAACCAGAATACAGTCCACTGGGCTGAGCAGGCCCTTCCTCTCCCCGTCACAGGAAAACGGGTCTCTGTTACCCAGCAGCTAACGTCACCAAAATGGCTTAATGACAACCTGTTTGACTTCAAGGTGATGTCAGATAGATAAAGTTCCTGGGGATAAAATAAATCTGTTTCCTATAATACATCTACATTGAAAAGCTGAATAATGTTAGGAATTTAGCCTCTGTAAAAGTGGTGAATAAAATTCCTAAATGCACATGGAATTTCTCATGACGTGTTTTCCCTGCTGGTAAAATGGCCTCAGAATTGCTGGCTGTGAAGATGATGGCCCAGCCCCATCCCAGTTGTCCTGATCAAAGGCTTTCTGTAGCTGATTTGTTCTGATGGCCCCTGACCCCCGCCCTGCGCCCAGGTTGCTGCCCTGAGGTAAGGCCCACACTCCCCGTCCCTCCCAGAGATCGGCCCCTCTGGCCCCACTTTGCAGGTTTCAACTATAATTTCAGAAAATGGACAAGTCCTAAGTTTGACAGCCTGACCTGCTTTCCTCGTCAACCTGGAGGAGAGTGCACAGGATGGGGCTCCGCCGACTGGACTTCTGACGTGCGACCTCGGCTGCCTCCAGGGCTGCCTCTACGCTCCGATGGCCTCCAGCTCCCTGGGACGGGCCTCCTGCCCTCACAGCGCAATGCCTGGCTGCCCATGCCCAAGCCTCCACCCTCCACACTCGGCGTCCTGCCAGGCCTGGGCACACTGTGAGCGTCACTGTGGTCTCAGGAGGTCCCCTGCTCCTCCTGAAAGCCTCTCCCGGGCTCCTGGGGGCTCTCTGGGGGCTGGGGGGCTGGCGTCTGCACCACCAAGGGGCATTCCCACAGACCTGAGCCCAGGAGGTGGGGTCCTGGGTGCGCCCACAGCCGGGGATGCTTTGCACACGCTGTTCTGCGCTTGTGATGTCAAGAGGCAGAACCACTGGGGGCCACAGGCAGTTCCGAGTGTTTCCAGTACATTTCTAGTGGTGTGTGTCGTCAGGCTTGACGAGGTGGCTAGGCAGTTCCGAGTGTTTCCAGTGCATTTCTAGCGGTGTGTGTCGTCAGGCTTGACGAGGTGGCTAGGAATGGACAAGACGTTCTTAAAACAGCTCCTTCGGTGCAGACGAGAGAGACGGGCCAGGCCTGAGAGACGGCCCAGACACTCGCCCTGATGGTGGGAAGTGACGTCCGGGAAGGAGTGGAAACTCTGGGGCTGATTTTGGGGGTAGAAAGTTGGTATTTTGCATAATGAGAGAAATTACCCCCAGCTGGCCAGGTGGCTGATAAGCAGTGGGAAGCTCGGGTGGAATCTAAACCCACTTAGGGTTTCTCCTCACATTGGACCTTTTAACAGACCAGCTCCAGTGATGGGCATGTTTGGTCTGTAGTGATGACACTGAGTCCCAAAAATACCCCTTTTGGAGTGAACCGGAAGCTCTGGTTAGAGGGTGATCACCTGCCACCCGTTCAGACATTCGCTGAAGGCTGGTTGTCAGGTAGGAGGGAGGATGTGCTGATGAATCCCACCTGGCCTTGTCCTTGAGGAGCTAGACCACAAGAGAGCGAGGCTGGGAGCAGAGGGTGGGCCCGGAGACCGACAGAGGCCTGGACAGCGGGAGGGGGCTGAGGTTTGGGGACTACGTTCCCGCACTGGGGTGGGGGTGTAGGGCACCCGCTGAGGGAGGCCATGTGTGGGAGGGCCCAGGGGCCTGGGACCAGAGGTTTTCTCCTGAGGTAGGGTAGCACGCTGGAAATGCCACCCAAAGTTCTTCCTATCAAAAATAATTTAGGCTTCTCTCCATCTCTGAAGCTACACCTACATAATCAAGGGGCTGGGAGAGGAGAAAAGATGCATATGTAAGTCACAATTATACCGAGAGGAGAGTGATGCCTTCCAGGGCATGGTGGGGGTCACGGAGCCCACCTTGTGCAGACGTCACAGCAGTGCCACCATCGGGCCAGGCAGGGGGAGGCCCAAGCAGGTGGTCCTGCCGTCGGCACCACTGCTACCCGTGCACTAAGGCCAGACAGCCATCTCATGCACGTGCTGTGCTTTGGGCATCAGATGACAGTGGGACCTCAGGGAGGCCAGCCCCTGAGGACCGTGCAGAGGATCGGATCCTTCAGGTGGAGGCCCTGGAGCTGGAACCACAGACCTGGGGGACCAAGAGGGGGAGGGACAGCCCAGGTGGAGAGGGGACCCCAAATTCCTCATCTATATTTCCTCGCCCTCCCTGGGGCTGCGCTGCTGATGCGGCCTTCCTTCTGCCCAGACTGGGCCTTGTCACCTCTGGGGCCGGGACTCGCCCCTGCTCTTCCAGCCCCCGCCAGTCCCCAGGCTCCAGGAGTGGGGATGTGACCCTGAGGTCAGACAGACTCCAGTCCAACATCTCCCTCCTTCCAGCTGTGGGTCCCCAGGTGTGGATAAAATGAAGGTTCCTGCAGCCAGGATTCTCACCTGGGTCCGGTCGGCTGGCTCACTACAAACATGTGGGCAGTACGTGGTTATTGAATCTATATAAAGAGCTCCGCCCAGTAGTCTGGGCGACACGGGGGCAGGGCTGCATGGCTGCAGGAGAGCAGAGCAGAGGCTGGGGTGCTGGCAGCAGAGAACAGAGGCCCAGAGGACAGCTGTGTGGGATGGCTGTGCGGACAGAGGGGCCCAGAGGCAGAGACCGGCCTGCTGCATGCAGACGCACTCTGAGTGAACGGGACTCTAGTGATTGACCTGCCACCATGGATGTAAAGTTGGGTATAACCCTTTCACCCCAAGAACGTTCCACTGTCATTTCTTTGGTTGCACTGAATCCATAGTGACCTTGCCAGGCACTGAAACTCATTGGCAAGACACCAGGTCAGAGATGAAACTCTGGGGTGCGGCATGCGCAGTGAGGAGCGCCAAGCCTGATGCTTCTCAGCGCCTCTGTGGGTAAAACTGCAACATTTCCAGAATATCTCGCCTGCTTTAGTTCATGGCATATCCTCGGGTGGAGAGACGTTCATCTCCGTATCACTGGGTAATTACCTGGGCAACCGAGGGCTTATCTGTACCCGAGAGGGGAGTGGGGGGCCGGTTTTGCTTCTGCTGGAGCAGGAGAGGGAGATGGGCCGTAACTGCAGTTTGTAAGCAATAAACGGATTTTAAACTTTACTTCTCCCTTTGACTGGTTTCGGTTTTTAGAGGTATTTTGACCCAGGATTTCCTTTCCCTGGACTCACAGCCTCCTGGCTGGCCGCCCTGCATGACACCCTGGCCGTCCCAGTGCAGCCTGAACAGGGGTGTGCACACTGATGGTGTAAGACCCAACGGCGTTCCTCTTA